GGAGGCCGAGGCAGGAGGATCACTTGAGCTTAGGAGTTCGAGACCAGCCTGAGCAAGAGTGAGACCCCGTCTCTACTAAAAATAGAAAAATTAGCTGAACATGGTGGTGCATGCCTGTAGTCCAGCTACCAGGAGGCTGAGGCAGGAGGATCGCTTGAGCCCAGGAGTTTGAGGTTGCTGTGAGCTAGGCTGACATCACTGCACTCCAGCTGGGTGACAGAGCAAGACTCTGTCCCGAAAATAAAAGAATGGACATTTATAAATTTCAAACCAGTATGGATGAAAAAATCAGTAAGGGAGAAAAAATATTAAAACAAAAATCTCCACTTAAAAAATAAGGCAAGAAAGTAGAAAAAAGAAACAGAAAATTTGGTAAAAATGGAAATAAAAAAACATTAGAAACAAGTCCGAAGATATCCACAATCACAGTAAATGCAAATGGGCTATTCTTACCCCCTCAAAGAGCATGTCAAGTTGCAGGGTTTTTTTTTTTAAGTTCACAACCCCCAGCTATATCCTGTTTTCAGGAAATGCGTCAATATAATAGAATGTATTAATAGAAAAGTTTAAAGCAAAGCAAAAATACGGGGAAAAATATGTCAGACAAATATTAGCTGAAAGAAAACTGGCGCAGTTACATGAACCAGGCCCGACAGGCTTCAGGGGAGAAGATATTGCGAAGGTGAGCACTGTCTGAGAGAAGGCTCTCGTCACATAGCCTCAACCCAACGCGTGCGGGCAGAATTCTGTCTCAGCAGGAATGGGGGCACATTATCCCCCAGGTGTGCCTGCAACATCTGAAAAACAAAATTCAACGCATTTCCAACAGTGTAGACGGTGTAGACCAACATCTCTGACCACAAAACAATTCAATGAGAAATTAATATATAAAAGATAATTTTCAAAAATCCCCATGTCTTTGGAAAGAGAGTTGCTAAGAAAGTTTAGCCAGGTGGCTGGATATAAGATATAAGATCAATACTAAAAAGTCATTTGGATTTTACATAAAAACAACATACCATTAGAAAACATACATATAAACAACAAACCAATAGAAAACACACTTCTGTTTTTTAGAGATAGTCTCATTTTGTCCCTTAGGCTGGAGTGCAGTGGCATTATCATAGCTCACTGCAACCTCCAACTCCTGGGCTCAAGCGATCCTCCTGCCTCAGCCTCCCGGGTAGCTGCGGCTACAGGCAAGTGCCACCGTGCCCGGCTAATTTTTTAAATTATTGTTTGTAGAGATGGGGTCTTCTTATATTGTCCAGGCTGGTCTCGAACTCCTGTCTTCAAGCAATCCTCCCACTTTGGCCTCCCAAAGCACCAGAATTACAGGGATGAGCCACCACACCCGGCCACAAAACATGCATTTTTAAAAACACATCGTTTACAATAGTAACAACTACCACCACCACCACCACCAAAAAAAAAAAAAAAGTACACCTGTGACTCAGTATAGAAAACGTGCAAAACCCACATCATAAAATGATAAACTATAAAACCATGCACACAGCCAAAGAGAGTCCTGCCATGGCTCGTGCATGTAGAGGGGCACTGACACTGTCTCAGAGTGAGGCCAGAGCCATGCTGGGTGGCAGTAGCCCCTCCCGGCCCACCTCCCACCTCCCATGTGGGGGCAGGTGCAGGACCTGCCAGGTGAGCCCCTCAGACCACCTGGGTCCCGGCGCGTCCCTGCTGCAGGTGCTGCCTGCAGGTGAACCCAGTGTTTCCACCATGATCACTTCTCCATCACCCCCAGCCCCCCTAGGGCAGGTCCGCAGCGTCCTGGAGGCTCTAAGAGGTTGGTGAGCACCCGCCAGAGGTGCTGGCGCAGCCCCTCCACCACCCCGTCCCCTCTGGGCCTGCTGGCCCCATCCCTGTGAGAACAGAAGGGGCGGGGCGAGGAGAGCGGGCAGGGAGAGGGAGGGAGAGGGCAGGGGCATAGAGCTTTCTGAAGACTGGGGGTCCAGGGAAGAAATGAGGGGAGGCTGAGATTTCAGATGGTTTCAGGTGGAGCTTCATGGATGCTGCATGCTGATGAAGGACGTCCCTTGTGGTCCCCTCCCCCAGCATGCAGACGTGCCCCACAGACACAGGTTGTGGTGCCCGCAATGCACCTCCAGGCAGGGGCTCTGGCAGGTCAGCCTGCAGTACCTGGGCCACCCCACCTGCCTCCTGCAGGGACGCCATCTTCAACCGGCGCGGGGTGCTCACCCGACCACTGCTTCTCCAAGCGGCCTGCAGGGCCAGGTAGGGGGTGCGCCCTCTAAGACACCTGTCACTCCTGATGGCGAAGTGAGGCCGCCCCTTCCCCACAGACCCACCAACACCAAGGATTTGAGTCGTCATACAACACCTCAACCTCAGAAACAGAAGCTAGAAGAGCCAGAGGCCAGACTGAAGCAGTCATCCCGCCTGATGCACAGAGGCTGACACACCAGGGACATCGCCTGGTGCCACCCCCGATGGGGAGGAGGCCTCGGCCCCTGGGAGAGCCTTGGGAGCCAGTGGTCGGGGAGCACGGCTGCTACCTGGGTGTCCACCTGCGGACAGCGGACAACGGGACGCGGAGCGGGGCGTGAGGCTGGCGGGCTTGCGGAGGGAAGCAGCCACAGGCCGCGCTCGCAAGGAAGCACAGAGACTGGGCCACCGTGGCAGAGGTGGCGGGTGGGGCCCCAGGAGCCAGGCTGGGGCTCAAAGCCCCCATGGGCCACCCTGGCCAGCATTTCTGATTTTCATATCCTGGGCGGTCGCCTCGTGTGTGCCCCTCCAGGTCTGCGCAGCTGTCTGTCTCTCTGGCTCCCAGATGGACCCCTGGCATCGCGAGCGTCCACCGGGGCCCTCTGTCCGCCTCAGCTGAGCACGTGGCCCCTCACAGCCTCAGTTGACCCTGCACGTGTGGGATCTACTTGGCGTCACCAGGGTCTCTGCAGCCACTCGGAGCTGCGTTGGCCGGCCAGCTGGGCTCACACGGCAGCCTCTGGTGTCTGCCCTTCCTCCTGGGAGCAAGTCCAGGCGAGGGGCAGCATGGCGGGAGGCGGGCAGCTGAGTCTGAGCACAGCTGTGCCCCTCGGCTGGGTGTCACCAAGCTGTCCTAACCTCTCTGAGGGTCATCTCCCCTCCTGTGAGATGGGATCGTAACATGCTGCCCTTGTGAGGTCATCTCCACTTGGATGGCACTCGGAGGCCCTGGTGGCAGGCCCACTGCTGCTGGGCGGGGGGCCAAGCGCCATGGCCAGGGGTTGGCAGGACCCCAAGGGGCCGGGAGGTAGCGTGCACAGGGTCCACCCTGGTGTCCCGACGGACAGGAGGGTGTGGGCACAGCTACACCCAGCACAGCACGGCCCCTCCCACACAGCAGCTAGGGGAGACCCTCCTGGAGGCGCAGGTGTTCATCCTCCAGGAGCGGGGAGAGGCGCAGTGGGGTGGAGGAACTGGGAGACTTGGGGTGGCAGAGCACGCCAGTCTGTCCCTGGGCTGGGCCAGTCACCCCCTCAGAGGGGAAATGGCAGACGCCCCCCGCCACTATGCTGGAATTCCCTCGGGGAGGGGCTGGCCAGAGACATCGGAGGTGCACAGCCCAGTTCTGCCTCTGCATTAACCAGGACATTTGGGTGTTGGGGGTTCACTGGGCTAGAGATCTGCCCCAGCACCCAGGATGAACCCCCTCTCTGGGAGCCCCCCTCCAAAAGCCCCGCTTCTTGCCCCACCCCTCCCTGGCTCTCGCAGCCCAGGCTCCGTGGGGTGCTGCCTGCTCCCCAGACAGCACAGCAGGGTGCCCGGCGAGTGGAGGGCAGGGCAGAGGGTGCAGCCCCACAAGGGGGGCCAGGCCGCTGCTGAGCCTGCACTGCCCGTTGCAGACTTAAACACATGCCTACGTGCAAGCCCCGGGCCAGCTGTCCCACCAGGTGCTCCCCTTTGCCGGGGAGCAACCTGTGGCGGGCGAAGTCTGCATTCGAGTCAGGCTGAGGCTCCAACCCACCCCCAGGGACCCTCCCACCAGGACTCTGTCCTTCCTTCACCAGGGCTCTGCATACTGTCAGTGCTCAGTAAGTGCTGGGCACCTAGGATGGAGGATGGCCCCTCTGGGCGACCCCCTCCCTGGCTGTCCCTGCCCCAGGGACATGGATAAAGAGAGTATGACAGGGTCCCTTCACCACCCTGCTGTGGCCTGGACACCCCCTCACGCCCCCGTGGGGGCTGCAAAACAGAGGCTCATTGCCTGTGAAAAACAGACGCTCACCCACCCGCCTCGCAGGCCGGCAGGTCTCAAATCCCCGCCTCTCCCCAGTAGCTTAAAGACCAAACAGACCCCTGGGTAAAAACCGTGGCCAAGAGTGGACCACACAGTGTTCCCGTCCATCTCAGAGGCAGATGAGTCAGCTGGGGTGGCCCGGCCGGGACAGCCAGATAAGGAGGGGGCCCAGCCCCGGACAGCTAGGTGGGAATGTGTCAGGGTGGCCGCAGCAGCCACCTGAGTGCTGGGTGGTCACTGAAGGCATGCAGGGCCCAGGTGGGGGGCAGGACCCTGTCTGTGTACAGGGAGAGAGGAAGGGGCGGTCCCCGTGCCCTGACCTGGGAGGTGAGCCCAGTGCTGAGCTGGGGGCAAGGGGGTCCCTGTTCTCACGCCCCGCCCTTGCCGCAGCCCGGCCCAGAGCTGGCGTGTAAGTACTCGAGTGTGCACCTGTAAGCCGGCGGGTGTGCCCGGGACTGCAGCGCAGCTCTCAGCCCTCCCGGGGACAGCTGTGGGCCACAGCCCCACAGGGACCACTCCTTGCTCCCTCCCTTGTCCAACAGCCCTGCTGGGGCTCCTGGCCTGGCCCTGGGGCAGGCGTGGGAGGCCAGGGGCCTGTGGGGGCTGCAGGATCCTGCAGAGAGAGGCCCCCATGAGCTCCAGGCCTGAGGGTCCCACCCAGCTCAGTAGGAGATGCAGGAGTTGCCTGGGGATGCCTGCAGATGCCCAGGACTCCTCCCCCAACCCCGACTCCTCCCCCCCCCAGGATTCTCCTCTCTAGGACTCACCCTCCTCTCTAGCCTCCTTTCTCCCCAGGACTCCTCCCTCCATTCCTCCCTCACCTCCGGATTCCCCCTATCCCTCATCTCAGACTCTCCCTCTGCTAAATTTCCTCCTCCCGAGGACTCCTCTCCCACCCCTCCCAGGACTGCCTCCTCCCTGGGCTCCTCCTTTCCTGGACTCCTTCCACCCCCAAACTCCCTCCTCTCTAGGAGTCCCCCCTCCCTAGAACTCCCTCCTCCCCTGGTCTCCTTCACCCCTGGACTCACTTCTCCCCTGGACTCCTCCTCCCCTGGACTCCTCCACCCCAGGACTCCCTCCTCCCCTGGCCTCCTCCTCCCCTGGACTCCTCCACCCTAGGACTCCCTCCTCCCCTGGCCTCCTCCTCCTCTGGACTCCTCCACCCCAGGACTCCCTCCTCCCCAGGACTCCTCCACCCCAGGACTACTCCTCCCCTGGACTCCTCCACCCTAGGACTCCTCCACCCCAGGACTACTCCTCTCCTGGACTCCTCCTCCTCTGGACTCCTCCACCCTAGGACTCCTCCACCCCAGGACTCCCTCCTCCCCTGGCCTCCTCCTCCTCTGGACTCCTCCACCCTAGGACTCCTCCACCCCAGGACTCCTCCCCCAACCCCGACTCCTCCCTCCCCCAGGATTCTCCTCTCTAGGACTCACCCTCCTCTCTAGCCTCCTTTCTCCCCAGGACTCCTCCACCCCAGGACTCCCTCCTCCCTTGGCCTCCTCCTCCCCTGGACTCCTCCACCCTAGGACTCCCTCCTCCCTTGGCCTTCTCCTCCCCTGGACTCCTCCACCCTAAGACTACTCCTCCCCTGGACTACTCCTCTCCTGGACTCCTCCCCACTCCTTCCCAGAACCCCTCCCCTAGGCCTCCCCTCCCCCAGGCCCAGGCCTCCTGCCCATCCCGCTCCTAGCTGGAGCTGCCAGCCAAGCTTCTCAGCTCCTAAGTGGGGCTCTTGGTTCTTTACGAGTCTCCCACCCCATAAAAGAGAGAGATCACCGCCGAGCTGTCCAGAAGCTCTGCCCGGGTGGTGGGAGGGGGGGCTGAGCCGAGCATGGGACAACCCCCACCCCACCCTCACTCCCGCGCTCCAGCCACCCTGGCCCGGGACAGCGGGGGTGGGGGTGTTGCAGCCCTGCCCCCTACACACACCCCTCCCCCCACCTCCCGCTGAGCCCCCTTCTGCGGGTTGCAGGGGTGAGGGGGCTGCACAGGCCCAGCCTCTCCTAGGACATCCAGAGGGCTCAGGCGGGGGTTGACAACAAATGCCTCCCGATTAATAAAAATGATGGAAATTTCATATGTTGACTCGGATCCTAAACATTTTCCAGGAACATCTGGCAGAGGCCGGAGCCGCCTGTTTATGTTCACAATGAGAACATTTTTTCCGAGCCGTCCGTCCGCAGCGATTGTCTCCTTGGGAAGCGCTGGGGACTCACTGCCCGGGCCCGGGCTGGGGTGGGCTGGGGAGGGGCTCCGGGCTGCGCCGCGGATGGGGACCCTGCCGGGGTGGGAGAGGAGCCAGAGCCAGGCCCGGCCCGGGCGAACCCCGGCGGGCCCGAGGGAGGGGTCCGGGGCTGGCTCTGCACCCCCGTCCCCCCACCTCCCCCTCCCTCCTGCCGCTCGAGGATTCCAAATCCGCCCCCCGCCCCACCGAGGGCCTTCCAGGCGTCTGACAGGCCCGCGGGTGGGTGGGCGCGCAGCCCTGGGAGGGGGCTGGGGAACGCCCAGCGGAGGCTCAGCCTCGTCACCACGGGGGTGGGGAGCCGTTGGCCCTCGCTGCTGTGGCCAGGTCCAGCCTCCCTCCCGCGCCCGGAGCCTGGGGCCTCCAGCGCTCCCTTTGGGCGCACCCGGGTGGCGACGCCGGCCCTGCAGCCAGGTACAGTGTAGAGAACCCCAGGTCAAGCCCGGGGCAGAGGCCAGCGGGACCCACGTGAGCCAGGTGAGCCACCCCGGGCCGCCCTCGGGGGTCAGGGTTTCCAGGCAGCGGGTGCCAGCTGGGGCCAGCCCTGCCCCGAGGCTGCACCGTGCCACTGTGTGTGGTCCTTGTGGGAGCTGCTCAGTTATTTTTCTTTCTTTTTCCCTCCTCTTCCTTTTTAATAAAATGCATCGGAGCGGAAGGCAGACACCACCTCCGATGTCCTTACAAAAATGTGTGCGCGTACGCGTGCGCATGCGTGCGCAATGCGGGGCCGCGGACCGGAGGCTCTGCGCCCCCATCCCCCTGCAAGCGGAGGGGGCGCCCAGCCCAATGCATGTCAGGCTGGGCCTTGGAGACCCTCCCCAGACACTTTTCTCATGGAAAGGGAAGCCGCTGGGCCCCCCATGGCGGTGGGAGTAGGATGGGAGGGATGGGTGGTGGCCTTCCCCAGGCCTCCCTTGGCAACCTCCGCAGAGGCAGGGTGGAGTGCACCACCCTGGGACCCTGGGCCAGGGGTCTGGGCTGTAGCTCTTGCCCTCGGGGCCACGCTGGGCTCAGGGATGAATCCTGTGTCCTGTTGGACAGTGGCTCTGTGGAAGAAGGACCTGCGCTCCCGGCGGCTGGGGTCCCCCACCGCTAGGCTTACGCCACCCAGAGGGGCTCACAGTCACCGCGGGGGCGTGTGTGCAGAAGGGACACGCACTGGAAGCACCTGGACACTTGCTCTGAAGTGCAGCCTTGTGTTTATGGTGTTCATGCTTTTCCTGCAGAGCTGAGCACAGCCCAACCACCACCACACGGGCAGCTCCAGCAAACCCCTGCGGGCAGGCCCCAGCCCGAGGCCCTCCACCCTCACCAAGCCCGGACTAGCCAGACGCCCAGGCAATTGTCCCAGGCTTCAGGTGCCCATGGCCCAGCTATACAAGGCCCAG